ATATCCATTTTTATAAGAAAAATCATTTTTCAGTGATCCAAGTATATCAACAATTTAAGATGTATGATGTACAACAACACACTATGCCACATTTTCAATAAACTTATGTCGTTTTTATCTAGTTCGTTTGGTTCATATATCAATATGGGTCTAAATTCATTCATTGCACAACTTTTATGCCAGTATGATATTTCGAGGACAAGATTCTGCCAGCTTCGACTATTGAAGTGTCATTAAGAATATTAAACAATCATATATTAGTGAAAGTTCCATAACATTGTAGAAAGAAGATTATTCAGAAAACAACTCAGAGAATCTCACATCAGAAAACTTCTCTATATAGTGGGAGAGAAGATTATTTAGGGTGTGTTTGGTACCTATTAAAATTTTCATTTTCATTCTTCTACTCATTTTCAACCACACATTCTTCATTAAAATAATATTTTCCATCACATCAATAACTTTTCCTTTTTTTTAACTACACATTCTCCATCAATCTACTGTTCCAAAATATATTTTTCAAAAATAATATCCATCAAACACACTCTTAGCACAATCTTTGGTTTCTAGTGGTTTAATTGATATGAAGGTGGTTCTCTTTTCTTTTTCAATTGAATCTCCTGACCTAGTATGCCCAGTGTTCACATATCTCGAGTTTTAATGATTTAGCACTTGTTTGAGGACCATTTTTTTTTTTGTTAAGAATGCATTTTGGAATAGTAGACTGATAGATGATGTGTGGTTAAAAAATAAGAAAAAGTTTTAGGTTTCATATAATATTATTTTATTGAAAAATATGTGTTTGAAAAGAAGACACATAAAAATGTAGTTTGAAAATAATGGGGATCAAGCAAGGGCTTATTTTCATAATTTGAACTTTGAAGAAAAATCAAATGTTGTTGTTAGAAGTCATCTATACCAAAATTTCACTTCTATATGGATCCTGAAGAACTTATCATGCTAGAAATTTTTCATTTATATGTTATCTGCATTTTCATTAAGTTTGGTATGCATGTATCGGATAGGATTAGACATTATGGATGAGATTCTAACTTTGTTTTCTTGTTTGGTATTGTCTAATACTGTGAAATCCACCTTAAAACACACCATTAGTGTCTTAATTGTTTAGTATCCAAGTATTAAAATCATCACTTGAGTTTATCTGTGTGATCGTGCCAAGTGACTCACCTTCTTGATTTTCTTGATAATTATTTTGTTTGTTTACTTTTCCATTTGGCCTTTCTTTTTGCTATAGAAACCAAGTGACATGATATCTGTTTGCATTGACCTTAATTAATGTATAATTTGGTGCGCATTTTGCTATTGTCCGCCTTCCAATTTAAGTTATACGAGTGTGTAAGCCTAAGGTGAAATCGTTTCTATTTTCTTTTTATATGCCTCACTGTCATTACTAACACCTTAGATTTATGTTCCTAAAATTTGGTGCATTTGCTTTGATGTGAATTTCATCAAAGTTTTCGTCACATGTAATGGGAGAAAGAAGATTATTGAGATCAGTGTTCTGAAAAGCGTGGCTAGGTGTAGAGGCCAAACTTCAAGCATTACGAGTCGCTTAGGCGTAAAAAAGATGTTTTACTTTTTAATCATTGTAAAAAATTCAACAATTCAAATAATACATACTTAACATCTAAAATTATAAAATATTG